AAAATGTATGTTTTTTTTTTTTTTTACATATATGTTTATAAATATACAGTATGTATATATATATATATATATATATATATATATATACTGTATGTATATTTATAAACATATATGTAAAAAAAAAAAAAAACATACATTTTATTCTAAATAATTTCAACAAATAAAAAAATACATTGCTAATAGCAAAATATAACAACGTTGGCAGGACAAGTACAAAATATGAAATACATTTGAAAAAATCTAGATAAACAAGTCAACCTCACTAATTGAGTAATTTGTTATTGGATCACTAGTCGACCAACTTGATCCCTGTTTATTAGTGTGTAGTCAATGTCTCGATCAGCTCTGAAGGACATGGGTGTTTAGGATTGTAGTGGTCGCCTGAAGGCCTGGCTGCCGTGGCTTTTATGGCGGTTGGGTGGTTTAAATCTTACTGGGGTGTAATTGAAGTTTAGCTCTCCTGCTCTCCCACTAAACGCACCCTGAACAGGATAATGAATTTTTAATGGGCTTTTTTCTCCCAGGCTCCGGGGCTGTTTTGAACATTTTTACAGGCCCTTCTCCTCCATCCTCATAAAGGATCCCCCGTTTTCCTCTCCCGACGCGCAGGCCGAGGCGTTAACTCGGGGTTTGCGTGTGTGTGTTTGCGCTTGACCTCTGAGTGTGTGCTAGAGCTCGTTTGTATGCTTGTGTGTGCCTTTCACTAATGAGAAGCACATGTGTAGGCCAATCGTGGTGCTAGCGGTGCAGAGCAGTTTGGCTTGAAGTTATTAATGGCAGTAAAATTTATGCTTCCTCCTTTTTTCCCCAATTAAATGGAGAAGCCCTTCTCTTTTCAGGGGTCTCTGGGAGCACATCTGGCTCCAATAGGCTGAGATAACCTTGCCTAAAGGGTCCATGGCCGGCTCCGACCCGTCCCCGCCCCCTCTTCCCTCCCTCGGGGTCTGGGTCTGTCTCTCTGATTAAGTCGGAGGCTCAGGTTCTTACCAGGTCCAGGTTTCAGTCTGCTTTGTGAAGGGAAACTGTGCTTTCTCAGGGTCAGAATTACTGAGGTCTGAAATAAATACCAGATCTTTAAAAAATCCTAAGATTAACTAAGTAATTATTGCAGATGTGCTTTGTTATAATAACGCTACTGTTCAAAAGTTTAGTGTTGGTAAGATTTTTTATTGTTTTTGGAGGAAAAAAGTACCTTGTGCTAAACAAGGTTGCAGTTATTTGGTTAAAAATAAAGTAAAAACAATAATATTGTGAAATTTTATTATGATTTAGAACTGTCAAGTCTTCAGTGTCACATGATCCTTCAGAAATCATTCTAATATGCTAATTGGATGATCCTTGATATTTTTGTGGAAACTGTGGTGGATTGTTTTTTGAATTTTTTGATAAGTTCTTTGATGAACAGCATCTGTATAAGTATTTACTTGAACTTTTGTTCAGTTTAATACATCCTTTTTCAACAACAGTATTCTTTTCTTTCTTTCCAACAAAAAAGCCTTACTGACCACAGATTTTTTGAATGGTAGCATAGGTCCACAGTAATGACCAAAAAAGTGTCTCATTCCACTCTCTAGTTCCCTATGACATAAATCTCTGGGCACTAGCAAAGGGCCTTGATCCATTAAATATTGGGACACTTGTGACTCTAATCAGAATCGAATACTCAAAAGTGCAATCTGGTGCTGTCCTGTTTATCCTGCTGTGTGTTTCTACTAAAGAAGAAGGTGTAGTTCAGGCTACCTTGGATATGCAGAGTGTGTCTGTCCATTCATGGTTTGTGTGTGTTTGTGTTTCAGAAGACGAAGTGCAGAGACAGATCGCCATGTGCATTCTGTACCACATCAGTATGGACGACCGTTTCAAGTCTATGTTTGCCTACACGGATTGCATTCCACAGGTGAGAGATCAGCCTGCATTAGCATGATCTTATAGCAGGGGACAGGAGAGGTCTATATCCACTCTCACATCATGTCAACATCGGGTGCGACCATTGTCCCATTACTCCACACCGCAACAGCTTAAAGCTGTCTACGTTTGATGCATCAAATTTAAAGTTCCAAATCAATTTCTACTGTTTTCAGAAATGTGGAGTACGTCAGAACTAGAACAGCATCAGTATACTGTCACTGTCTTGTTGCATCATGACGCTTTGCATCCAATGTAGACGGTATCAGTTGATCACAAATAGCTGGAAAAATCCTGGAAATTCAGTGGTCAAAAGGTTTGAGAACCCAGTGCAGTCAGTAGAGGGCTTTTTCTTGTCGCTTTCGCCCTTGTTTTCATTGGGTCACTATGTGTTAGGGGTGTAACGGTACACGTATTCATACCAAAAATCTTCGGTATGGGTCTTTCGTTTCGGTACGCATATGTACTGAACAAATCATTCCTTTTTTTCAGGAAATTCAGTTAATAAATGCCATTTTGGCACTCTTTGATGTGGTGTCATGACAGATCGCTGTAAAAAGCCTCATCGCTTCCTCTTTACTACTAGTTTAAATGTGAAATAAACATCTCATGTAATCGCTCAATCAGTGTTTCAACCGCGGAAAGATGTCAATAAAACAGCTTGTAAACAAAATGTCACATAGCATTTCATTTACCTCAGGCAAGTCATCAGTGTCTACAGCTCGTTATTTGCTAGGGAAAGTCTAGAGAAGAGCATTTTGAGAAATATTAGGCTATATACTTATATTTTACTTTACCTGTTAATGATGTCTTATTTAATGTAGGCTATGTTTAATTAATGAAACAAGTCATGTCAGCCACTGTATGATTGTAAATGAATGTATGTCGACAACAAATAGAAATCGTATAATTTAGAAACAGCATTATGTGCAATTTACATGTTTGCAAACAAATTTTTAATTTGAGTGTTGATTATTATAGTTAAAAATAAATAACAATTGAATTCAAGTTTGGGCTCTCTGTTGTTAATTGTAACCTTATAGTAATGTAAAAGGGCTAGAGCAGAAGCTGAGGTAGAGCATTTTAATTGTAATCGAATTTATTTAAAGAAAAGGCAATTTGTTCAGTAAACCATAGTTTAATTAAAAATAAATACAATTTAAAATAAAAATGTTTTTTCCTCCTGCTGTACCGAAACCATGACGTCAAAACTGAGGTACGTACCGAACCATCATGTTTGTGTACTGTTACACCCCAACTATATATTGTGAAAGAAACCTTTCAAATTTAAATCAGATCACAGAAGCATGTTAGAGATTACAGTTAACATTCAGAATAAGGAACCATCAGACATTAAAGTGTAAGAATAAAGGAAATCGAAAGGCTCTTCATGGACAAATTGGGTGACTAGAGAGATGAAAACATGGTGACTGCAGGCTGGGGGTTACCAAGGTTTTGGTGGGGCGACTGGATGTTGCATGTGAAAGCAGGGCAGGTGCCAGTAAGTCTAGCCACAGTGATTTAGGCTGCAGGGCGGCTGCTATGTGATACTCAGTAAGGGACTGTATGCTTTGCATACTCACCGCTGCCTTCTTACTCTCTCTCCGGGCCTCCTGCTTATCGTTAACGTCAGGGGGCGATGCTGACAACCCTTGACCACTTCAGCCCAGTCCTGGACCTCTGCCCAGTCCCTTTCCCCCCACGCTCCCTTCCTGGACCCCTACCGTCCCCTCAGGTAGCAGAGTCCAGTCCTCTGTTCCGCTCGGGGTGTGGAGACGTTAGCCAAGCTAATGCAGAGTGACATGTAAGGTTCGTGTCTAAAGTTAGGATTCACTTGAGAAAATCAGGAACCCCTGGACGTCTGGGAAATTTACAAATTGGGTGCGGGAGTTTGGAAAAAATGTTTCAGGTCTGTCAGCTTTTTTTGTGGGACAAAGGCGTTTTTGATTAAAGTTCTAGGCGGGTCAGGACTTCAAGGTGCTTGCTGACTTTGTTGAGTTGGATCTTGTAGGAAAGAAAGGGGGCGCTTGAAGCTTTTGGGTATGAGGTAACTGGACTAAAATTAAGCATATGTACACACACTAGCTGACTTTGATGTCGGTAAGTAATTAAAAAAAAATCAATTAATACTTTGATCAGTGAAGTGACAATAAAGGCATAATGTTACAAAATATTTATATTTCAAATAAATGCTGTTCTTTTCTACTTAAAGAAATGTATCACAATTTTCACAAACTTTTCAGCGGCACAGCTGTTTTCAACATTGATAATAATAAGAAATGTTTATTGAGTACCAAATCAGCATATCAGAATGATTTCTTAAGGATCATGTGACACTGAAGACTGGAGTAATGGCTGCTGACAACTACACTCTGTGGCAAGTGCTCTGATTGTTTCTGTTATTTCCTGGTGTTTTGTTTGTAAGGTAATGAAGATGTTGTTTGATTGTGGTGAGGAGAGGTTTGACGCTGAGCTCATTTCCTTCTGCATCAACCTGGCTGCCAACAAGAGGAATGCCCAGATTATGTGTGAAGGTGAGAATAGATACAAATGCGAAACCAAAAAAACATTGAAGAGCAGACTCAGTGCTTAATTGAATGTTTCCATTAAAGGCAATGGTCTGAAGATGCTGATGAAGAGAGCACTGAAGCTAAAAGATCCTCTGATGATGAAGATGATCCGAAATATATCTCAGCATGATGGACCTTTTAAAAATCTTTTCATTGTGAGAGTCAAAACCGAGAATATACTCACCCAAGTTTATTTAGAAGTTTTTATTGATGTTTATTCCATTGAAAACTAATAAGCATGTTATGTGTTTGAGGATTATGTCGGTGACCTGGCGGCTCAGATTGGACTGAAGGAAGAGGAGGAGTTTGTGATTGAGTGCTTGGGAACTCTTTCCAATCTTACTATTCCTGATCTTGACTGGGAACTTGTGCTAAAGGAGTACAACCTGGTGCCTTATCTCAAAGACCACCTCAAACCAGGTCTGTCTCAATCAGCTTTACTGTTTTACATCACAATGGACAATATATGAGAATATTAGTTGCAGGGTCTCGTGAAATGTGACTTCCTGTTATTTTTCTTCTTTAGGCTCTGCAGAGGATGACCTCATTCTGGAGGTGGTGATCATGATTGGCACTGTCTCCATGGACGACTCCTGTGCTGTAATGTTGGCCAAATCAGGCATCATTCCTGCTCTAATAGAGCTGCTGAATGGTAGGAAACATTCTGATACTCAGAGTGCTTTTAAAGTGCATGTTCAGTAGTTTATTTTTTTGACATATGTTAGTGGAAGTAGAGAAATGATCATCTCTTTCTTCCTTCCATCCTCAGCCCAGCAAGAAGATGATGAGTTTGTCTGTCAGATTGTGTACGTCTTTTACCAAATGGTGTTTCACCAGGCCACCCGAGATGTCATCATAAAAGAAACACGTATCCTTCATCTTGTAAAACCTGCAGTTGTTGTTGTTGTTGTTCAGTCATACAACGGTTCCTCTTTCAAAGTTTTTGTCCTTCACTGTAATCTCATCAGAGGCTCCTGCATATCTCATTGACCTGATGCATGACAAAAATGCAGAAATACGCAAAGTGTGTGACAATACATTGGACATCATTGCTGTGAGTATGAATCAGCTGTACCTCAAGTAGTGTGCTGTTTTTTCCACCAATTTCAAGTTGTTTATTGGATCTACTGTATATGTTATTTCTTAATATTCTGAACAAGGCTTTATTTTGATATTTTTAGTATTCATTGTAGTTTAAGTTTTAGTAATTCGGAAAAAAAATTGCTTGTGTCATTTTTATTAGTTTTTTATATTTCTATTTTACTATTCTATTTATTTAGTTTGAATTATTTTAGTACTTCAACTTAATTTCAGTTATATTTCAGTTAATTGCTAAGGTGACATTAGTAATTTTCATCCAAGTCATTCAAGTGTTTTTATCTAACATTCATATTTTATTTCAGCTTCATATAAATTAATGGAAATCTGTTTGTCGTTTTAGACTTAGTTAACAATAACACTTTTAAGAACTAGTCCAAAGTTTTCCACCACATCTTCTTCCTCTTTTCTTTTCCTTTGAGTCAAGAGGGAGACCATCCAATTGTCTTAACCCACACTTCATTGTTAATGATAAATATGGCACATACGGTTTGTAGTCAGGGTCATTTGACATAAAAGACTATTGGATGAACACCGTTGCTAGCGGGTTAAATGTATAAGCTGTTCTGAAGCAGCTCTGTCGCGTGTGATCTGTCCCAGGCCTCAGATTAATGTAATTAGGGTTGGTGTTGAGCCCAAGGGAAGTGTTCCATACATCTGATCGGAAAGGGCCATTAAAGCAGGGAGCAACATCAAAGAGAATGGAGGAGATGCCTGCTTAGTATCACGTGGGGATAGTGGACAGAACGCAGATCCGCTGAATACCACACATTCACATACATGTTGTTGGTCGTCTTCCCCTTTTTCTTTTTCTATGTTATACAAATATGAAAATCTGATGAATATTGTTTAAATAAGTTTTTCTAATTTTGTCTTTGTCATACCCAAGCCTTTTTTTCCTTTGTGACAGCGGTTTTTAACCCAGACAGGAGAAGTCATTCATAATTAATTTTTACATGCTATTTCTTGACATGCTTGAAGAATTTTTCCCCAGATTTATTTATAAAACTCCCAATCCTGCTCTGGATCCAAATGTTCAGTAACGTCATGAGCTCAGCCGCTTGAAGATTGATTAGCCAGAGTATCAGACCACATTCATCGCAGTGATTGGCCACAGGAGTGCAGCATGTGGTGCCATTAATGCTTTACAATGATAAATTTCTGCCCTGGCAGAAAGTGTCACTGTGTATGCCGATGAGGCCAGTACCGGTGACATTGAGGCCTGTTTGAGGCCTGGGCCTCAGGTGGCCATCAGAGCCCCAGGCATTCAACCCCGTGTGGGGATGATTAATCAGAGAGCCGGGTTGCTTAGCTTAGCTATTTCCACCAACCTCAAAGAGGTTTTATTACGCTCCGTCCCTGTAGAGTTAAAATAAACAGCTACCATGTTATCCATCTGCCAGGCAACACAGCGCACCTGATTCATCCCACATCTTGGGTATGGCACATGCAGCGAGACAATACAGGCAGAGCCTTTCTGTGTCCTGTGCTAATAATCTCTCTGTCTGCGTCTGTAGGAATATGATGTGGAGTGGGGCAAGAAGATCCAGAGTGAGAAGTTCCGCTGGCATAACTCTCAGTGGCTGGAGATGGTGGAGAACCGGCAGATGGATGAGGCAGAGCCTTTCATGTATGGAGATGGAGAACCTTTTCTCCAAAATGGTGACATCCTGGAACGGCCAGACCTCTTCTACAGCCCAGGTTATATTGGGCGGGGATTTTGAGAAATATAGCTGCATTTAAATAGTAGTTCTTGTGAATAGGGTATTTAAATTTTGTATTTTTAATACATGTCAGCATACTTTGAGTTAGTTTTTTTTTTTTTTTTTTTATATCTTTATAAGCAATCAGACATTATTTTTTTTCCTGGTGGACAATATTGGCCCCATATATAAGATATTTCCTCTTGTATTTCTTCGGTACTTATGACAGTGCTGCTCATTTTCAAACATATTTATGAAAATTACTGAAAATATTGATATATTTACTAATTAAACATTTCCCTGTGTGATTCTATGAGATTCGAGATTCTAAATGTGTATGTTTTTCAGTAAAGAAAATAATAGTTATTAGGGTAAAAGTCATGATTTCAATTTACCTTTTGATTTTTGTTTTTAGCATTTTAATGTGGTTTTAATTCATTTCATTAAATTAAATTAAATATTAACACCCTACTATTGTGGTTGGCTGGATCTACTAAAAATTGTAAAAATCTATAATATATAAATACAAAATATACTATAATCTAGTTAAAAATCCAGATTATAAACAAACATTACTTTTAGATTATTCTTTATAATTATTACTTTTAATAATTAATTTATAATTCTAATTTTAGATATTTAGGACAAACATTTTTCTTTTTTATTTAAATTGTAAAGGGGTCATATGATGCGATTTCAAGTTTCCCTTTCTCTTTGGAGTGTTACAAGCTGATTGTGCATAGATAAGATCCCTGAAGTTGCAAAAACGAAAGTCTCAAAACCAAAGAGATATTCTTTATCAAAGTTAAGACTCTGCCACGCCCCCCTAAAAAGGCTCGTTCTAACACGCCTATCTAACACACATATCTACCTCACTATGTGGAAATATTTGCCTAATGCCGCCCAAATGTTCACGCAAAGAAAGAAGGCGTAGTTTCAGTAACCGCAGTTAGTGTTGAAGCAGCCATGTCAGGGAGACGCTGTGTGTTTCTAGGCGAAAGCAAAAGCACTTTATTTGGCCTTCCGAAAGTAGATGCATTTAGGAATCTTTAAGATGACTTACAACAGAACAGCAATGCATTTTATGGACGACCGTTTCGTGAACCTAGGAGAGGAGGTAATTCTGACTTTGCTATGACAATCTGGCACTTCTGAATCAGCTACTGTTTTGTTATTAGTTTAAGTATTTGCTATTGACTGTTCAAATGTGGAGTTTTGCGCATCGTGTGTGTGTGTGCGAGAGAGCAAGATCGAGAGAGGGCGAGAGACACATCACAGTGGAGTCAGCTGTCTTAAACGTGGCTTGTGTACTGCACACATACCAGCTTCATCACTGTGTCACGCAACTCTGTTCCACTTTCGGGCTCTGTCTTTGCATTTATTTTGAAAGATGAAGCTTGCGATTATGGTAAGAGGCGTTACATTTCCGACGAGTGCTTGCGGTGTTCGGCCAATCACAATGCACTAGGTCAGCTGGCCAATCAGAGCAGACTGCGCGTGTCAGGTTCTGTTATAAGTAATCTTAAAGATTCCTAAATGCATCTACTTTTCGGAAGGCCAAATAAAGTGCTTTTACTTTTGCTTAGAAACACACAGTGTCTCCCTGACATGGCTGCTTCAACACTAACTGCGGTTATTGAAACCACGCCTTCTTTCTTTGCGTGCACATTTGGGCGGCATTATGCAAATATTTCCACATAGTGAGGTAGATATGTGGGGGCGTGTTAGAACGAGCCGTTTTAGGGGGGCGTGGCAGAGTCTTAACTTTGATAAAGAATATCTCTTTGGTTTTGAGACTTTAGTCTTTGCAACTTCAGGGAAGTTTTATTCTGTTACACCAAATACACAAAATAATGATCTATAAAAAAGCATCATATGACCCCTTTAATTAGAATTTTAAAAATAAATACAAAATATTATGAGTAATTTGATGCATCTCTGTATTTTCTGTATTGCTTCAGCACAGAGGTGCCACTGATAATCGATTTCTTTGTGATTCCCACAGATGGAATAATCCCAGCAGATGGTGCCATTAGTCCAGAGTTCTTCACAGACTTCCAGAATGGAGACCTGTTAGGACCACAGGGTTTCCCCAGCAGGTACTTTTAAATATGATGAATTAGTCAAACTGGCTTTTGTTATTACTGCATCACACACACACATCTTTGTCTGCCAGTTTTGTTGGCTTTAGCAGGAAAGGGCTCAAAAGTGCTGTGTCAAAGAGTCCTCCGGCATCCCAGCAGGCATACTGCACTCCTCCAACAGTAATACCCTCAGCTTTGAGAGTAAACACAGCTCCCTCTATTCAGCTTTTTCCAAAACTGCTTCAGTTGCCATATACCTACTGTTTAGGGGTTTCAGCAAAGCACTAATGTGAAGACTTGATGCTCTGATTTATGGTGTGGCCCACTTTTTGTCATGGGACTTTGCAAAATATTTGAGCTCTGTTTCAAATATTCAACTCCGTAATCAAAGAGGGGATTATTTGATATGGGGCCATTAATGATAATAAAGTGACCCCTTTAAATGATTAGACAGTCATAGGTGTTAGGCTTTAAACATAGATTTAAAAACAAGAGAGCTTGCTAAATTATACATTAGTCTGTGAGAGAAAGGATGGAGTTGTGAAGTCAGAGAAGAGGCACTGAAAAATAAGGAGCAAGTGAATACGAGGGGGGTGGAGGGTGGCAGAGGAAGCCATGTTTGTTTTTCACAGCTCTTTGTAAGTGATACCTGTAGAATACACTGAGAGTGCAAAGGGAATTGGGCGGCCTGAAAGTGGGGTTTTCATTTTGTCCGTGTGGTGTTCGAGATCCAGGTTAACAAAATAATGAAATCCAGCCTAGGTTTCCCTGCGCCGAATCAGGAGCCAGACACACTGGGAACAGCTCTTTTAAAAGCCTTTAATAGAATCACTTTTATTTATAGAATAGCACAGAGCAATCTTTCATTTAGCACATCAAGAACGCTTAGTGATTCCAGATGAAAAACAAATTCTTGGCTGCATTTGCTTGAAAAATATGAGTTCCTCATTGTGAATGTTATGATTAGACAAAAACACATTACAAGGTAATTAATATAATATTTTAAAGTAAAATAAAATTATTTTAAAGCAGTGAAGCATAAAACGTTATTTTTAGTGAAACATTGCCAGGGCCAAACAGGACAAGTACAGTTCCCACAAAAAATATTTGGACACTTAAGCTACAAAAAATGTTTAAATGACATTGCATTAGAAAGTGTTAAACCACGTGGCATTTATTTATTTTACTTTCTTTGGATACTTTCTGTTGGCAAATGTTATGTAACATGTCCAGAGTTAATGTGATGAACTACACCTGCGGTTACTCAGCTGGGACACCTGTGTGAACTTGAGGGGAACTGACTTATATATATATAACTGACTACATGTATCCACTAATAGAGACCAGTTGGTTTAAAGTAATAGAACAAATGGCTAAATAATTAAAATCAGCTCTGAGAAAAGGTCAAGCATGATTGATTTACAGATAACACTTGATTTGATATATTACTGTTTAAAGTTTGGGGTCAGAATTTTAAATTTTTAAAAATTTTGAATACATTTTATTTTCAACAAGGGGGCATTTAAATGAAGGAAAAGTAAATAATAATTACAATAAGTTTTGTCATTCACCCTTGTGTCATTTCAAACCTGTCATATGGAAATACTTTAAAAATACTTTATGGTGCTTTTTTTGTCTTTATTCATAGAAAAGAGCACCTTCTTTTCTCATTTTGTGTTTCATGAAAGAAATCAATTCGAATTTGGAAAGACATGAGGGTGAGAAAATAGAATCATCATTTTCGGGCACCAGAGGAAAGAAAGAGACTGGCAACACAGACACTTTCTTGTTTAGAGGTTTCCGGGGTTTTTATTTATTTATTTATTTATTTTACAGGATCTCACCTCAGTGTTAACTCTCAGGGGCCATCAGGCCAGACATGGGGATCTTTTTTCAGCTTGCGTCCAGCCTCAGATCTTCAGATTATCACCAAGTGCACTGTGATTGTGACCCTCGAGTGTAAAGGGCCAACGGCTGTGTTTCATAAGATGGTAGAAGGATAAACAGTATCTTCATCTCAAATGAGTTGGTTTAGATTAAATGATTAAACAAATTAACCTAGATGGAAAAAGATTGGTTGCAGTCACTAGTAACATCATTATTTGTGGAAACCTGCAGAAAATGTCATCTTTTCAACTTTCCTGGAAAGGATGACAGCATCCCTTTGGGATGAATGATTCACTGCAAGAATGATTATAACACAAACACACACAATTTTAAGGCCTGTCTCTTACCTGGACACTCTTAGGAGTGATCATCTGATTTGCAACACTGCCTTTTCCTTCCCATCAACCCTTTTGAACTTATTCTGTTAGTTATAAGCTTCGGTTTCACCCAAATTCTTTGGTAAAAAGCTTGAGGAGTAGAGGCTGGATGTCAAAGTCTGAAATTTCTCTAGACGGCAGTGGTGTTCCTCAGAGGATAAAGACAGGCTTGCTGCCCAGAGAGGGCGGGTGTACTGGGAGTGAAGGGGGTAACGCATGTAACCGATCGCTGGAAGTGATTTGGTCTAAAAACAACACAGCATTGTGGGAGCTGAAGGGGCAAAGCAAACAACCCATATTTTAAGAAGACAGGCCAAAGTTCAGTGGGTGTTGTTTATTTAAAGGCAGATCATACTAGTCCTTTCCAACTGATGTGGCATGATCACGTTAGTCATTTGCCTTGAGGAATTAATATACTACTTCTGGTTTTAAAATCTCATTTTTAATTTGTAAACACTGCTGGTGTGAATAATACAGTACAATACAATATAATCCCATTGGTGATTTGACTTGAAAAATTGACTTCAACTTTCATACATATATATATATATATATATATATATAT